TGACCCCCTGCTAACGTATTCTGTCTTGTCTGATAGATTCATTTGATCAAGACAGAGATCACATTTCGACAATAGCTGAAGAAACACAGCAGAGTATACGCATCAACCCAATAACACCAGAGTCCACAAACAAATTCTCCAATTTCATCTCAACCTCACCACGTCATAAAAACCATGTCGGCTCCTCGGCCAACCTTTCGGAACATCCATGTACGATTTTCCTACAACTGGGGCGTGATGTCAAGAAAGCCAAGTTGGATTCAACACCGACGATCGGCTCTTTGAGAGTCTTGTTTATGGATCGCTTCCAATTCAACCCTGGCTCAGATAACTTCCCTGAGATCTATCTCAGGGATCCTCAGAGTGGGGTTCAGTATCAACTGGAAGACATGAGCGAGGTCAAGGATCGGGTGGTTTTGAGTCTGAATATTGATGGTAAGTCCCAAGACCGCCTCCTTACCAAATTAATCTTCATTTCTCATGTCCTTTGTGTCTGATTGGTTTTTTTTTTCAAACAGCGCTGGATCAAGTCAAGACCCACATTGATTCCGGATTATCAACTTTGGCGAGGGAAATCAAAGACTTGAAATCGACTATCACTACCCTTCGTCGACAATCCATCCCACCCCCACCATTATCAAGTGCGACACCTATCAAGTCGGCTACGGAAAGCCAATTCAAGCAAACTGCTCGTCAAGTGATGAAGTCCTCGGAGACCACCGCGGAATCTGGTACCCAAAAAACTGAACAGCCTGTTGAATCCGGCTCCCCCCGACCGCCCGATTCGGCGAGTAGTTCGTCTGATTTGAGACTGCAACAACTCAACGGAACGTTCAAGAACCAATACGGTGAAGTTCAGGCGCTCCGCCGGGACCTTGGAATCCTGAGACAACTCTATGGGACCTTTACGGGGGAGACAAAGAGCTTGTTGGCTGGCCTTCGATCTCAAGCCGAAGCTGTCAAGCAAGCCGCGACTGCCAAAGTAGCCTCCTCACGGACATTCATCGATGCGGGTAAAGTCAAACTGGAGACTCAGAGCCAAGACTTGGTGACCAAGGTCGAGTCCTTACAAGATACTGTGGAGGACCTTAAGCAGGACGTCACGAATCGGAAGATGAAACCCAAGCCATCGGCGATGGTCACCGTATCTCAGTCGATCCAGACCGTCAAGGCTGAGCTAGAACAACTGACGAACCACATCACGACGATCAAGCCGGCATGGAAGAAGTCGTGGGAAGACGAACTACAGAACATTGTGGATGAACAGCAGTTACTGAATTATCAAGAAGACCTGATCAAGGACCTCAAAGAGGATCTCGAAGCGGTCTCGAATCTATTTGGGCATGTGGAGCATTATCTGGATGCGAGGAAGGTATCCAAGGTGAGACCGAAAGAGTTCATTCCGATCCTCAGTCCGACGACGAGTACTGGAGGCCTTCCATCCGATCCGAGGGGCGGATTGGAGACGGTCTTGATGCAAGTCAAGGGGCTCGAACCCAACCAAGAGAGTCGTCTGAAGGCGATCGAAGCGGCCGAGAAACTCCGGGCTAAGAACTTGGAAGAGGTGCAGAAGGAGAACGAGTTTGCGCAGGAACTGGCGGGCTTTGTCGGGAATAAGAAGCTCAAGATGACCGGTGGACACGAAGAGATTGAGCGGATGCGGAAGATTAAATCCGAGGCTACGTTGAAAAGCATTGCTACTTCTAAAACTTCAGTCGATAATAATAATAATAATAATAATAATAAACAGGATACTACTAGTCCTCTTGAGATCATATCCGAATCAGGGCCGACTGAGTCATTGACGAATCCTGAACCTTCTACCGACCCCGGGCCACCTCCTCCGACGAATGACGAACTATCGCCCGTCGATACTCCAACTGATGAGCATCTGGAGAAGACGGAACAAGAGGAGGATCAGAAAGCCGAAGACGAGCCTGATCAGCCGATCGTCGATCCACCCTCATCTGCCGAAAACAAAGATCTCAATGATGAGGAGGAGGGCGGTGGAGGCACCAATCAACTCGAAAGTAATCTGGATGGTGGGCATGATGATGTTGCTGACAAACTGGATGCTGAGGAGCGCGATCAATCTGTCCCTCAGGATACTGGGCTTCCTCGTGAATTAGATGCAGACGATAAGACTCAGATTGCCGACGAGCCCTCTTGAACTCCCAAGCCTTATATCTCTTTCATGCAATATCTCTCTCCTTTCCTCTGTTTTCTTTTGCTTTTTTTTCTTCAATTCAATTCAATTCAATTCGCCTGATCTAATTGTCTCTTTTTTTTGGGGGGGGGGGCGAGGTTGTCTCTTTTTTTCTTTTGATAATGTGTATTGTTGATATCTAAATATATATATGTGTATGTGTGTGTGTGAGGATTTGGATCAGGGGAGGTAAATGATGATGAGGGGGTTGATGATGCAAATTCAATGATAGCTAAAAAAAAAGTAGTGCATTTCCAGTCGAGTTCTCTTGGAAATTCGCTTCAATCTTTCTCAGACACGTTTAACTCTCTACTTCTCTTCTTTCTTCATTTCTCTCGTCTCTCTCTCTCCCTCCGTTTCACTTCTTTTCTTTCTTTTTCTGTTTTTCTGTTTTTTTTTTTTTTGTAGAGTAAAAACATGTATTTTGAATTGATCATTAAGGCTTCTCATTTATTGACTATCTTTCTTACAATTATGTACACAAGGATTTCTTATTTTGAAGAAGAAGAAGTAAATACATGAGAGGAGGAGCATCAATCAGTAATTCGGAGGAAGTCTAGGTTGTGAGCTAACATATGTAGGTCTGCAAAGGGTAATTTTTGATTGTGTGTGGGATGGTCAGTGGGCACACTGTGAAGAATGAAAGGATGACCCTTCGGTCGCTTGCTCCTTCATGAGCGCCGTGCTCCGCCGTGTTACATATCCTTTAATCAGTGATCACCCTCCACAAAAAAGACTGCATGCAGCTCGTCGTCACTTCCAAAGGTTGAACCCCGGCCTGCTCGATAATCTGCTCACTCTAAATCGCTTCTTTTTGAAGACCAAAGATTGTTAAGAGAGAGGGATTCTCACACGGGACGATATCCGATGGCGAATCGGGCAGGAGGATACAGGTTGAATAGACTCTTGAACAGACTCGTTCCTGGCTTGATGTTTCTGCTGATCGGTGTGGGGCCCCCATTGGTATTGAACCAGTCAAGTTGAGTGTCTCTACATTATCGTTACTCATCCAAATTAGAGAGTTCATGTTCTGTGTACATGCGAAAATTTTGATGGGGTCGATCGTTTGGCTTTGGCTTTGGCGGGTGGTGGTTGATGGATACATGAACATAACCAGTCCCGTATCTGCTCGAGACTTCTCCTAGCGAATACCACCGTTGGATCAGTGAGTCTCCCATTACTCTTTCATTCCGTCCTGTACACATCATCGAAGACATCTAAACTCAGCTGTTTTTCTGGATTGTTAATCGGGGACGATGGACTCGAAGAGCTCTACAGACTCTTCTTCATCGCGCAGCTTTCCTTGGCCGTCGGATGGTATCTGGCCGTCTACTTCAACCTGTTCACTTCGGCCAGCGGCTACCGATCGACAACCGGCCTTATACGTGCAACCTACTCTATACGCCGAACCTCGCCCTCCATCTTTCAGAAAATCGTCGATCAATCTATCGTCAATTCTTTTTTTTTTCCTCTCTATTCTCTCATTTGGTTTTTTTTTGGAAAAAAAAAAAAAAAATGCGGTTGACCGAGCCACTGACATAGTCTCCTGCTTGTTGTTTTTTTTTTTTTATAGGTTTATCAGTGTGTTGATCAGGTCGGCTCTCCTCTGCGTTGCGCGATTTGTAACGATCAGATCGTTCCAGTCCGCGCCCGGCATTGTCAGGATTGTGGAATATGCGTGTCAGTCTGATGCTTAATTCAGCACTAAAAATTACGCCATATTCCAATTTCTTTGTGAAGCTATTTTTTTTTTTTTTGATCGAGAAATTCTAAAGAGGGATAAGAAGCAAGCCTAACAAAAAAAAAAAAAAGAAAGGAAACTGATGATGTGGATTTCGACAGGCCAGGTTTCGACCACCATTGCGTGTGGTTTGCGCAATGTATCAGCCTCACCAGCACGCTCAAGCCGTTCATCCAAGTGCTCATCCTAGGTGCAAGCACCCTGCTCGCCGCCGCAGTCTCAGTCTACCCGATTGTTTTCCAGCACATCAGACAAGTCATCCGACTCACCTGGAGCAATCGATCCAGCGGCGATACCCTGCGTCGAATTTGGTGGGGTCGTTGGTGGGGTTGGGCTGGAGGCCCCGTGTATAGGTACCCCCCCCCCCCGCCCTTTTCTTTCCAATGTATCATATTGAGGGGACGATTGTCGTCGTGGTCTCGTCGGATTTGGATTCGACCTTGAACAGTTTCCGACCAGACTCTGTTGTATATCAAGTAGATCAAGTTCCGCTAACTTCTCTCGTCTATTTCGTTTTGTCAATTATTTAGATACATGGGCGGGCTTTGTCTTGGATACATTTACTATCCGGAGATAAGCCTAAGAGAATCGAGCAACGCCCATGATGACGGCTCGAAGACACACCCGAGACGGAAGACCATGTTGGATGAGCCGACGCTCTCAGCACTATTGATCACTGCAGCAGGCACGATGGTCCTGCTAGTCATGCTAGCGATGATCACGATAGTCTTCAAAAACAACATCCTCAACGGCCTCTCCACGATCGAGATCGAGCGCGCACGACGCTGGAAAAGCTCTCCGAGGGACGCCGGCCTCAAGCTCTGGGTCCCGCTGCCTGCGTCCCTCGGCCAGCCCAGAGGAAAGGTCGTCGTCGTCCCACACGGCCTGCCGATCTTCGACCTCGGTCCTAGACTCAACTTTCAACTCATCATGGGTGAGAAAGTCTGGCATTGGTTTGGTAAGTCTTCCTCTCCTCATCTCGTTCATCCGTCAACGAAATCCTTACACACAAACACGCATAATTTCATCTTCCTCCTATCTCTAATCTATCACTAAACAACGCCTTCAGGTGCTTCTTCTACTGACTATCGCTGACGCAGAAATTTCTGGCACAGTACCATGGAAAACGAGTGGAACACCAGACGGAGTTGAATGGCCCATCTCGGATCACTGGATGAGCTATCTGAGATCGCTAGATGCCTACAATGAGGATGAGGTATCACCACCAGGATAGTGACCATCTTCTACCACACGAATGCCCTTCGGACGATTGGTACCATCCGACCCCAAGATGATTAGAATTTTTCAGCCTCTGTATCTTTTGTTTGTTTGCGAGTGCGCAGGAATTACCAGTTGTAATACGCTCTGTGCAGATGTACTTGTGGAGTCCCTGCTTGGGTTTAGTTAGATCTAATTAACGATCATATGATAGTCTGAGTCATCAGTCACAAACAAAACATCACGTGTTCCTATCGTGATCCATGGCCCCGATCACTCACACATATTTCTCAAACATCTCCTCACTCAAGACACTCATTTGTTTTTTTATTGATGAGGTGACAACCACAACCATGAGCAAATAATCTTCTGAGATAAGTGGTTTAGTCAGACATGACGACCACCATTAAAGCAACAATAAAAGTATAGGAAGGCACCAAATATACGAAGACTTCACTTTATATTGATGGACAAAAACGAACACGCTATGAAGTTGAAAAGTGGTGAATTAGATTTCCTTTTGTCTCGAAAATTAAGTGCAATTATTGACCCTTCATATGTGGTCGCGGTGGAGAGCGGTACGTCGTATCTTTGACCGGCGGGTCAAATTGGGTCGATAATTCCTTGCGCTGATGCACCCCGGATTCATGGGGGACCGGGACTGGGACTGATATTGGGCAAATCCACCCATCCGCCGCTGGAGCCTAGCAAAAGCCGCCTGTCTCACGGAGGCTGAATAAACTTCCTCATGTTCGGGAATCGGAGCGGGCACGCCGTCCCGCAGGGACCCTCCCCTCCCCACATCAGGGACTTGTTCCAGTTTTGCCACCGGACTCGGGTCACGTAAAGTCGGCCACTACTCGGGAATGACTATCCATCCGGTCCACGTTGGCAGCGTATAAACTTCAAGTCCCTGGCCTTGATCAACTGGGTTGATCTCGAGGAAATTCCTATCATCAAATTGCAATGGTGTACTTCTCATCAGATCTTCCATCAAAGCAAAGCGGCTTTTGGTCTGTATCACCGGACATATGAAAAAGGAAAGGAGTCTTAATAATCCCTCAGAGTCAAAACCTTCATCACAAGATACAGTGTTTTTTTTTTTTTTTTTTTGCACTGCGAAGGAAGCGGGGTCCATTCATCAAAATTGCATATAAATAACCGAGCTTGATCAGCGGAGAATTCTAGATTGTAAGCATCGAGCACCCAATTCGATAGAGATACATGAACGATTTTATGGTTCAGCTGGGGCGTACACAAGAACAGTGGAACTTGCAAAGAATTGCAATGGCGAGGACGAGATGGTCAGCTGAACTTAAAACAATTTAGATACTTAGATTGGGATTGCTTTTGTACCTATGTACACATGGAGCTTGCTTCAAGCAAGGAAATACAACAGCTTGAACTCTGATCGAGCGGAATGGACGTGTGGAATGGCTGCATCCTCATATGGGGCCCCTTACATTAATACCTGAGAGATTCAGCGAGATGTTGAAACAGGGAGAAATGACAATATCGGCCACCGAACAGTCTCTAGATACCCACCCCTCCCAGGGCATTATACGCACCCTTTGTCCGACTTATTTACCGTGGTTCCGCGGTGCCTCCCACGCTGCTGCCCCCCTCGCCCAGCACTCGCCTGTGTAGAGCTCCATCCAAAAGGCGACCAATTCTCCCAGCAACGTTGGGCCAGTGGAGCTGCCGAGCTTGCGCCGCCGGAATGCTCGAACCCATCTTCATCAATGATGGGATCTCAGATCCAGAAGGGGCCACATTACCACATTACTATATGAATTCAGGTGAGCTCTCGAAAGGCTTTAAACGATCTTCGTGGATAGATATGCAGCTTTTTGGATCCTCGTATCTTTCCAGCACGTCTGGTTGTAGCCTTCTCCTTGTTTACTGGCTTTCTCTCTGGGTAACCTGAGATGTTCTACTTTTGGTCACACTGACCCTTGGGCTAAGACATGGTAGGGGGTATGAGAACTCGGCCATTCTTGACGATACCACCGTTGCGATATCGGATTTAGTTGAGGGAAACCTTGAGAGCACTTGGATCATTCTCCCCCTTGATCCACCCTCCAGGCCTCCTTTATCCACATGCCACTTTTTTTATCATTCAAAATCTACAAATACAATACATAAGTGTACATAATAATCACCAACTCCCCTGTCGTACGGTGTTGTTGAGGCACACCTACATTTGCGATCATCACTTACCTGTCAGATAAGTCAGCTGGGTGGTCCTCGGTAGACAGTGACTGAAGAAGTTAGTTTGTCCTCATCAATTTTTTCTCCAAGCTTAAAACCCCCCCTCTTCTCACGCCCGGCGGTCACACGACACCAGCCAAGCTCGGATTGACACAACAGTTCCCTCATCAATTAAACCAATTTCCTACCTCGTCTAATACATTAGGGCTTTCTATACAAAGCTTCCTTTCTGTCATTCAGGGCCTTTCTCTAAGTTCTGTAGAGGAGTTTTTTCCCCTGTTCAAACACTCCTCAACCCTCTTCTCTTTTCCGATTTCTCTTTAAACTATCAAGCTATGGTAGCGTTTGCCCAACCACCGATGAGAAAGGCTCATCAGAAGCTCTCATTTTCCCCTGGAAGCCATCGACCAACCGAACCTTCCTCAGGACCGCCTCTTTCTATGAATGCCTCCAAACTTGACAAGCTGAAGAAACTTTGGGACCGTCGTCCGAAATTCGCTGGCCCTAACGGCGGCGGCAACACCACCGTAACTGTGGCTTCACTCACTCTGCCCTACTCCTTGAGCTCCAAATCGAAGAATAAGAAGCAGAGTCGCCGTACGACTATTGGAACCGAGAAGATTGGACTTCCCCACGACTTTATTCATTCAAAACATGTTGGGATTCACGACGTCAGGGAAATAGCCTATCAAGTATGTGGCTTCATTAACTTTTTATGCTAACATTTTTTTGTCGCTGAAGCTGATAATTTTGCTTCTTATCTTTGTAAACTTCTTTCGTCTTATACGCTTGTCTCACCTAACTAGCCTCGCCACTCAATGGGTGCAGTTGATATGTTAGACTCTGCGGGATTGAGGTCGTCTCTCTATCGCTTGACCGACTCGGAACCCGAGTCCCAATCAGAGGAAGAAAAAACGCCGGCCGCAGTCACCCAACGCAGATCCCCCCAGGAGCGCCGCTCACTCGGCTGCCCAGGTCCTCAAGTTCCTCCTTCACCTCGCTCAAACAAAGTCAAGCGGAAATCAGTCCCCATTCACATTCTCCAAGACGTCCCGGAATCGCCTCCGCAACTGCCTAGCGCTGATCGTCCCGGGGAAGCTGCTCAGGGACGCTACCGATTCTCGTGTTTGTCGATTGAGGAATCCGTTAAGGAGTTGATTAATTACGCTCAACCTGAGTCCTTGGTCGATGAACAAGGAAGACCACTTCACATGGTTGGAGGAGTAAGCTACCGTCTGTCTACATTGCTTGCCATCTACTTAACTATTCAACCTTTTCTCACCTCAATCACGCTCCTTTTGTTTTACCGTTTTTTTTTTGCTTCTAGGAGTACATGACCCAAACAATGAAAGGAAAATGGGACAACAAGATGGCAGAAATTGCTCAAACTTTGAAATCAGAAGCTTCTTGACATAATCTGTATTCCCCCCCCCCTTTTTTTTTCCACTTGTCTGTAATTACCCCTCTAGTAGGCTTATTACTTTCGAAAGCAAGAACCACTTTTTTCAGCTTCTTCATTTACTTATTTTCTAGGATTGTTCTTGCTTGTCGACTTAATCCGTTTCTCAATTTGTTTATGTACAATATTTATAAGCCTTATTAGTTCTAAGTTTAATTGTAAAACTCTTATCTCTTGGATCTCGTATGTCACACGACCATCGACTTTATTTATTATTTTATTTTTTTCATGACTCTCTTTGAGATATCTCTTATACATGATTAGCTTTTAATATGATGTTCAATTAAATACTTGATCTTTCGAAATTATATGCTCCCACTGCCCTCAAGTGTCTTTCACTTAGGCGAGTCCCCCATTTGTCTTGGCAATTGGAGATAAACCAGCTGAATAATGTAGAAATATTTCACAGAAAAAGCATCCAACAGTATTGCAGTGACCAGATACCCATGGTAGAAGTGCCCGTTAACAGTTGTCCATAGTGTTTCAATGGGAGTTGGTAGTATGGGTCCACTGGGGAATTGGGTTGAGGACACCTTACTGGACAACTTCCCATCGGATCTGGGGCCCTCCCAGTTTTCAATTAAGACCCAAAAAGTCTAGATTTTTGCAGGCAAATCTAGCTTTTGAGGCTCTAAATCAAAACTGGGAGACCCACAGATTTTGATGGGAAGTCCTCCACTAACTCAATCAAGCTTTCACTTTCCTGAGCCCTAAATTTATTGAAAGATTGTTTGTAAAATTGTTTTTCTAACAAACCAAATCTGGAGGCCATGATGGTTGATGTTTTGTCAGATGGTGAGAAAAATCTACAAAGAAAATTCTGTTGATAGTGTACAGGTTTCAAGTCCTCCACTCCCTTAATCTTTTTGTTGTTTGAAAACCCTCCATAAAATAAAATAAATCCTAAATTAAAGGTCTTTGATCTTTTGAGTTGAATGCCAAATAGTAGATTTATGACCAACTCCCACTGCTTCCAATATTTTGAATTGTCTTTATGGGCTCATTGCTTTAATTATGTAACCACACATAGCTCTCAAGTACCAGAATCACAGCTAGCACCTTTGTGTCATATTTTGAATGTTCACCAGAAAAAACTTGGATCATGTTTTTGTCACTTTTCATTCTTGTGTGGGCGCTCAGCTGGCAAAAGGAGAATAACAAGAATTTATATTTGTGGACCAAGAAAGGGAGTAGCAACTTAGAATGCAACAGTGAAGGAAAGGAACAGTAAATTTAAAAAATTGGATTGGATTTGAAGTATTATAGCATCAGACACCTTGTTCTTTTTTCATTTGTAATTCAAAGAAAGAAGTATGTTCTTCAGCATGCCTGGGGAAGGCTTTCCCTCCTGTTGAATCATTTTAACCCCTCTCTAATAAGCAAATCAACAACCTGGCTAGGGGAGGGGAAATTGAGGCCCTAAAATCATTCTCATTGATGTGTCCTTACTCCTTTGTTTGCTAGGGAGAATGGAAGGAGAAAACCAATTTAAGGGGAAAAGTTCATAAATATCCACAATTTAAGATGTAGAGAAAGATACTTAAATATCTGAATCCTCAATTTCTTCAAACTTCCTTAGTCCCCTTTATGAAGGCCCTTTATCCTCCTATGGAGCCTTGTGGGACTGTCTGACAGGGTGTGACAATTCTCAGCTGTAGGGGATTCTGCTTGATCTACAACTATCTGTGATCTGTCCTGGAACAATCAATAGATCCTGTTGATCCTAAGCAGGTTAATCAGTGGGAATCCTTTGTTTTTCCCAAGTCTATCTCATGCCCATGGGCACCAGAAACTCTGGAGCTAGCTACCCCATCCACTTCTAATGCTACAAATTGGCCAGAATGGCCTCTTTGTGTCTTTCAGGGGGCTATAGTTGATCAGATGTGGTATACTTAATATTTAATGGTTGTACTGTGCCTGAATCCACTTTGTATTGGTATTGGATCAGCTTGAAAATGAAATATCTGATACATTTGAGATGTTGTGTTGGTGGATTGATCCAATACATATTTTTTAGTCTTTGTGTATTGAACCTCAACACCTGATCCAATATATTAAGGGTAACATAGTTGAAAGAAGGACCAAGTAAGAATTTTCAGTAATGTGGGTGAGGACATACAAGCTCATAGATCAGGAAAGCATAATAATCATTCAGTGAGAAAAGGAGAATGGCAGAGAGAACAACTTGACTACATGGGTGTATAGAGTAGAAGCATACTAAACTAAAAATATACTATAAATCTCTTAAAAAAATGCACCCCTTGTCCATTCTTTTGGATCTGGCAAACAATCCAATGCAGATGAAACAGCTTTTATTGGGACAGATTGGATTCTTTTGTCGCCAAAAGCTTTGCAAACCAACCAGAAGCCACATCAACTCTTAAATTTGCTTGATGTCCCCTAGGGGTTTTGAATCAACATTTTGTGATATCTGGGACATCAATGTGATGTATTTCCCAAAAAAATACTAGATTTTTAGATGTTTCAGTTTTTTTTTAGATTTTATAGAGGGACTTGATAAATAAACATGGGTTTTCTGTCTTCTAGATTTTTAGATGTTTCATATTAATTAGATCTTGTATGTTTCTATATTTTTGGATTTTTTATATTTTCGCTAAAAATCTGAAATTTGGGTTGGGGAAAGCTGCAAATCTGCAAATTTCAACAGCTAAGAGAAACCGCATCGGACGAGGATTAAGAGTGGATTAGCGTAATTAATCCGAGTCCTCAACCACATTGGGTTCAATGTAATCGGACTAAACTCTACTCCGGAGTAGGATTAGAGCTAAGTAGGAGTAAAGTTACTCCTCACTAATCCTGGGATTAAGGGCCATTTGCATACAAAACACACATGCAACCCCTGGCTACTCCCAGGTTTACACCACACCACTGCGGTTGACGACCCGGAGTAGCCGTAATCCAGGATTAAGCTAATCCGCTAATCCTCAACTTACACCCGTACCGATTTGGTTGCTCTAAAGTCTAGAAATTTTAGAAAATTAAAAAAAAAAGAAAAGAAAATCCTGTTGATATTCCACATACAGTTTTTGATGGCATAAACCCACCCTGGATATTCAGGATGTCTGAATTTTTGAGCTGAAAAATGAGGTTTTTTATTTAATTTCAATTTTTTTTAGGATTTTGAGCCTCCAGAATCTTGAGAAGGGACCTTAGGACCTTGAATTGACACTCAAGATAGATGCCAAAGGTCAGAAAGTGATGGCAGAGTGGTTTCAACAAATGAATATGCCTCACTTATAAGTTATACCCATAGTCATGGTTTTAGGTATTGCTTTTGGAAGGCTTTTCCAACAAAAACCACTCTTTACTGAGAAAGAAAATGAATGACCAGGTTAAAGCCTCAGTGAATATTTTTAAACTATACACACTTGCAAGAGTTCAAAATTGTAATAAAAATAGGTATTGGTGAATTTGCCCCACTGGGGGGAGGGTCTGCATGTTGATTTTATATTTTGCATGTGGGGAAGGTTGGTTTATGCCATCTGCAACTGTATTTCAACCTTTTTGATTGATATCCCCAGGGGACATCAAGAAAAGTTTGAAGTGACAGGGATAATGACCAAAAAATGAGAAGAATTAAACTCAGGTTTTGTTTTTGAATGGCATATACTTGAAAATCAGATGATAAACAGGCTGCAATATTTCAGAAACTTGATGCAAAAGAAATGGGATGATGCTTGGTGTATGAGGAAGAAGAAAAAAAAAATCAAACAACTGATGATTTTCCAGAAAGTTGGGTCCTGGACAAGATTGGCCATGTTTCATGACATCAGGCATGCTTGGCTCATTGTGGTACAAGTCATCAATGGGTTTGATTATTTTTCAAAAATAAAAATCTGTTTCAAAGACGGGAACACATATTCATCAAATCCACTGAGCACAAACATTTGATTTTGATTCATTTTTTTGAAGGGTGAGGATTGGATTGTCAGTTGCAAGCTTGATTTGATAATTCCTGACAGTGACGGAAATCTGGCCTGGCCTTTAGTGTTATTTTTTTTTTCAACACAGTTTAATGTTTCATCATTAAATCTCAGGTATAGCAATAGGTATGCAATGAGGGATCTACACATGGAGGAGTTCAAAGGTGAAAAATGGCAGAAGAAAATTGAGGTGGCTCAATTGCTTGTAAAGAAAATGTTAAAACAAGGCATAATCACATGAGAACATAAGATGGAATTTCATAGAATTGATAAGTAAGAACCAAGTAAAAGATGAAAGAGAGAGGAGTAAGTAAAACTCCAGATCCAACAAATACCATTGGCCACATATCCAAGGTCTAACATGAATCACCATGTTGATCAACTGATTAGCAAGTGTAGACAAAGCAGTGATCAGACAGACCTTCTCCAGAAAGTTTAGCACCCTGAATCTGTTGAGATGCAGAACTCATTGGACACATTCTGGCCAACAACAACAACTACTTGGATCAAAATTCCTGAGAAGCACATTTAGTGTATGGTCAAGTGACAATTGATGGTTAGCTGGGCAATTATATTTGAGTTGAATTGAGTTTCTCCTTCCAGACAATCCGATTCCAGCATGTTGAAGTTCCATGGTGACACTGACAGAAGCCCAATGCAACTGATTATACTGTCAATTCAACTCAATTTAATCTTGTTCTAGACCAATTATTCAACACAAAATCAATACAACACAAATCATTTGCCAGTGCATGGAAGCTAATTCAAACATTGAACAATACACCCGTCACATTTCTCAAACCACAGCACTGAAAAAAAAAACTCACCAAACTGGTGGCAGTTGACATGCAGGTTACATACTCCCAATGTAACTCCTGTCATACTGTAATCTATTCCAATGTGTGCAAGGTGCACAGTGACTGTGCATTGAAGTATGGCTGAGGTAATGGTTGAGTAACACATGAGTAACAACCCAACTTTGAAGAGACTTTCTGCATTTCAACTGGCAGCAGTTCCATGAGATTTTTTCACAGTGCAGGTAGTGAATTGCTTGGAATCAGTGCAATTTGGCCTGCATGTCTGATTTTGGATTATAAAAACCTGTAAACCACAATGCAAAGTGCCATGATCTCATGTTAATTTGATCATTTTCCTTGCTCATCCTTACAGCTATTTTGGGAAGTCTTGTCCACTTGGACTCGCGAAATCTTTTTCATTTTTTTATTTTTTATTTATTTTTTATTTTTTACTGAACTGGACCTGTCAGAACTGAACTAGTGATGACAGCTGTACCTCCCCGGCTGTAGTTCAGTACAAAGAAAAATTTAAATTTCAAAAAAAAAAAAAAAATCAAGAGACAACTGGACAACCCTTTCCAAAATAGCTGTAGAAACTCTTGTCAATGCAGATCAACAGTCAAAATCAAATTGATCCAATTTAAGATTGTGTGAATTCAAAAATAAGAAAAAAAATAAAAAATAAAAATGTTAGGAGATGGTTGGGGTATAAGTATAAGTAGATGAACATATATATGTGGGTATGTATGTACACAGAAAAAACAAAGGAAAGAACATTACCTTACAGCTATTTCGGGAAGTCTTGTCCACTTGGACTCGCAAAATCTTTTTCATTTTTTTATTTTTATTTTTATTTATTTTTTTACTGAACTGGACCTGTCAGAACTGAACTAGTGATGACAGCTGTACCTCCTCGGCTGTAGTTCAGTACAAAGAAAAATTTAAAAAAATTCAAAAAAAAAAAAAATCAAGAGACAACTGGACAACCCTTTCCAAAATAGCTGTAGAAACTCTTGTCAATGCAGATCAACAGTCAAAATCAAATTGATCCAATTTAAGATTGTGTGAATTCAAAAATAAGAAAATAAAAATAAAAAATAAAAATGTTAGGAGATGGTTGGGGTATAAGTATAAGTAGATGAACATATATATGTGGGTATGTATGTACAAAGAAAAAACAAAGGAAAGAACATTAAATGATTGGGAAACAAATTATAAGTGATCAAAAATTATTTTATTTATTTCTTACATATCAACACCATCATTTTTGTGCATGATTCTCTTGTTAAGCTTTGTGAGAGAAAAATGGAAAGAAGGAAAAGAGAAGGAAAATGTTTAACATCCAAAAAAGAACCCCACCCCTGGTTAGAAAGACAAAAAAACAGAAAAAACAAAAACATGATTATTTAATAAGGATTGCTATGATACAAGACTTGAATTTTTGAGAAAGGAAATTGATCTTTGGAACAATCAATATGTATAAGGAGTTGGTTCATTTGTAAAAATATGAAAAAGGGGGAGGGGGAAGAAATCCAAAGGAGAGAAAGAGAAATGCTGTAGAGTGTGTTGTTGGGTGTGATTGAGATGAGGGTAAAAAAGAAACAAAGTTCTCAGGAGCATAAGATTTTATGTGGTATATATAGAGAGAGGGGGAGAGGCAGAAGTAGAGGGGAGATAGAAGCGGAGGGGAGCATGAGAACAGGGATAGGAAGACTAAGGTTTAGTAGAAGCGATCGAGTGCATCAAACCAAGTCTATAAGATTTATCATCAGTGACTTCAGTAGGCTGTTCTTGAGCTGGTGCTGCATGGCCATCTGCCCATGAATAGGCTTGGTCGAAATCTAGTCCAGTTGCTTTGGTTTGCTTCGATGCTGATCGTGTGTAGGGCTTTCGCATCGCATAATCTTTGAAGAAACCTGTTGAAAAGAAAGGATCCGTCATTAGTTTCTTGGCCTGGCTTTTTTAATTCTTTTGTGGGAATTTGAAACTTACACAGTGAGATATAAGCCTCGAAAAGGAAATCGCCTGCATGAGAAGGGTAGACTTATGTTAGCATCCAATCAAAAATACTGGTTTCCTTTGCTTCAGAACGAAAAAGAGGAAAAAAGAGAACGGACCATAGTTCTGGGAGTGAAAAAAAGACTTCCATCCGGACGTAGTTTGACCAGGTTTGAGTGCCTTGTACGATTCAGCTGAAAACGAGAAAATCATGACGACCCTGAAAAGAGAGACGGGGAAAAATAAAGCATGAGTGATTGACAGAGAAGAAAGCCAACAATAGATCAAGTCAGAAGGGGTGAGGAAAAAAAGCTGACGAAAAGACGACCATCTCGATCGTCGTGCAAAGCGCTTGTAGGCCCTCACTAACATTCGTCGGCGTCTTCGAATAGGTAATGATTACAACAAGACGTGATGAGAAAACAACAAGATGCGTGTTTGTATAGAGAAGATGAAAGACTGACCCAATATAGTGATCCCTTAATCACGCCATGTTTCTCCAATATCGAGAAGACGAAGCCCTAAGAAGAAAGTTCATTCCGGTCAGCAAGTCCACAAAGTATTGACCAGCAGATGTAGAATATTGAACAACAGAGAAACGATACCGACTTGGTAAAATGTAAAGAACACGATTCCTGTGCACAAAAGTAAGCGTAATGTCGCATGAGCAAACCGCGCAGATCAACCAGGCGAATGAGGAAACACATGGATACACACTCACCTTTGATGGTCAGGAACTTGGCCAGGGGTGATTGGCCTTTAAGGTGGATCTTGGTGACTGTGTAGAATACCATCTGTATGATGATGAATAGATATCACACAATTAATTGAAATGACTGAGATGAGGAGTCAAGAAGAATCTTACCAGGCCGTAGAGTGCTAAACTGAATACAACAAAGTCAATCCTGTTGCAGTGATTGTACAGCCAAAAAGATAGGACGTAAATGAAAAATGGGTATTAGAAAAGGACGAATTGTGCGAAGGAGAGACGAGAGAGACAAACGCTTCGAGGTAGACTTGAGCAAAGTAGACGCTATACTGGGTTGCACAGAGGACATGGTTTGCTTCGCAAATGATCCCGACAATAGTGATGAGAGGACGAAAGATACAATACTGCAGAACGAGCCATTTAATAGCGTGCAAAAAGTAAGGCTACATGTGCGCATGTAAATCACAACGAAGTCAGCAAAATTTGAACAGAGAGGTGTGGGGAAGAGGAGAAACGAAATCGGACCTTGGAGGGCCGGTATCGCCAGAAACAGAACGGAAATGGGACGCTCCGTTTGGGCGCATTGGCTAGGATGACTCGTTGAGAGGCAGGCGCATTACCGATGTACTGAACTAACAAAAACAGAAAGGCGCTGATAGCAAAGGCCTCGTAAACCTGATACGGAGATATCAGAAGCAAGAGATCAGCATGCTTTCCCAGCTTTTCTTTTTTGTAACGCGTGTCTGGGTGTGTGGTTAAGAATATTACAAGTGACGAACCGTCTCAACCAGTTGATAATAGGTGAAGGCGCGAAAGAACCGGTAACTGAAGAACGAGATGACAGCTGTGACGTAGGGAAGAATGAGTTTCACTAAGGTTTTGTAAAGTTCAATTAAGCGGTGAACCCTTGGAGCTGTGTTGACTGACCATATACAGGGGGCATCAAGATGATTCGCTAAACCCAGGATGATAATCAACAAAGTTAGGATTTCATGCTGCTGATCGTGAAGCTCCGATGAAGGCAGTGTTTCGACGGGTTGCTCACGATGATTTGACGCTGTTCGGATGGCCGATGGTAGTGCCGAGCATGTTGACAGACGGTGTAAGTAGAAATGATGATTGTCTAGTGTGAAACATAACAATTTAAAGTCAGCCAAGTTTTTTTTGTGAAAGATGATGAAGGGATGGCTTACGAGGATGGCCATTGAGCCAGCAATCACCCAACCGATCCTATGTGCATCCCAATTGATTGACTTGTCTGAGAAGAAGTCAGACTCATCTTTGATTTCAGTATTGGTTGCATTACAAACTTTGGCGTCGAACATCACGCGTGAAATCGATTGATTGATGTGATATTATCCTTGAACAGTCGGTTACTTCTATTTTTTCGGTTTTTGATTTTTTTTCTTCTTCTTCTTGTTGTTTTTAATTCAGTGTGCCTGTGTTTGTAAGTCCGGAAAATGAGAGGGGGGAGGATGGCCTATGCAGGGTTTTTTCACAAACAGATGAATGTAGGCTCGGTTGGGATGGGAGTGGTGGTGGAAGTGGTGATGGTTGAAAGATGAGAAGTTGTCGAGTGTTGTTAATGAGTTGGTATGCTTGCTGATTAGGGTCGTGGTACTCGAATATTAAGCCGATGATGAAGCCACGCGAAGAACGAGTTGGGGTTGGGGTCAAGAGATGGCTGGTGATTGATCACTAGTTGGACTTATTCGATCGTCGCCCGGCTCTGCCCTACTGGGATTTAGTGAGCTGAACTGGTTTGGTGAAGGACAACCTGGGTTAGCGCTTCCCAAGCTCATGAACCTCGACAGATTGCTGCTATCTTGCTGGGTGCTGGGGGGGTGAGTGGTTTTGTGTCCCAATGAGCCTAGTGCCGGTGGGCTTCGACTGATATGGTCAATCTCGCTTCTGATGATAGTCAACACTGCCCAGATCTCGAGAGATACAATCTGTGTACATAACCCTCCTTTTATGGAAGAATCTGCAGCCCTCCTGCATTAATCAGGTAGCATATAATCGACTCGATATATGCATATTTAAATACCTCGGCCTACCTACTTCAACAAGGATAAGACAATCTCATAAGCGAAGTAAAACATCTGCTCAAAATGACCGAGAGTGAGAGTGTGATACGTTTCAAAGAATTTGTCAAGCTGTGGTCGGCGTGAATGCGTAAATTTCAAAGCTGGACATCATCCACCCGCGAACGTTGCAGTTGGGGTGGGTGGTCTTTCCCGCCTCATACGCACGCGAAGAAGCCGGGCAGCCTTCGGAGTTTACACACTATAGAGCGGGCAGCCTTCGGAGTTTACACATAGCTGGTGACTGCTCGGGTTCGAGCCGGAACGGGCACCAACTTTGCTATAGTCTTCTTCATTGTCTACTTTCCTCTTCATCATGATCACCGGCAGTGAATAAAACATTTTCGAAATACCTCCAGAACGACTGAATGGATCCTCGGTAAAGATAGTCCGGATGGCAATGGAGGGTCGCTTTGTCTACTGAGTCTTGATGAACAAAAGTCAATGATTCAAGGATCCACCTGGCCCGGCCTGCGGTGAGTGGTATGGCCGGGGGACAGCTCGGTTTGACCGTTACGGAGCGCTACGGCCATGGCGGCTTACGGAGGGCCGAGGAGGATAAGGGAGCCGTACAGATAAAAACGACTGATACATAAGCCATCGAATTGGCGGCTATTTGTGAATGTTGGAAAATTGTATGGCATATATGGTCCTTCCCGCCTCTTGAAGTGAACAATCAGAAACACAGCCTCCATTCCAAGCCGAACCCGACCGGCCAGGTTGTCAGACGTGTCTATTTCAAGCCCAATAAATCGACCGCTAACTCCAACCAAGCTATCATCCCAATCATATTTCATTAGCCTACATCCAAAAGTCCAACAAAAAAAACAGACCAAATTGATCATCGCCATGCGCTCCCTAACTTAACAAGTCCTTCTTTATTCGCAGGGGGGACGCTGTCCTGCAGGTACCCTCCGAAGGAAGGTCAAACTGCCGGAGGGACTTGGTCAAGTCAGTGGGCTCCATCCTAGCTATCGTTTCCATTTTCTTAGCTCTCTTCCACAGTGCGGGTATCGTGTGTGATTGTGGTCCCGGTCGCGACGACCCTCAACCGGACATAAGGGCACGTCTCACTCAGTGCATTGCGCCCTGCATATGTCTGTAGGTATTCTCATACAACCGTCTGGTAAACAAAACCCCATCAGACCCCATCTCGAAAACGAACAATTTCCTGGTCAGCTTCACCCTTTCAATCGGCTTTTTCCAATGATCAAACTCTTCTGGGATACAAGAAAGGATTCGAGAGCAACTAGTAATTGTTTTGTACTTGACCTTGGTCTTCGGTCTTTATATCTCTTTATTCGAAGTCGTTCTGGAAAGGAATCAATTTTACATCAACTTGACAAATTTAGGGTGGCGACAATTTCTACGATTTGACGCGTTCCTCATCTCGACACGTTCTTAAGTCACGACCCCATCACAGATGCGACTGAAAAATCCATGACAAATTGTGAGCTTTCTTTCAAAAAAGCGCAGTTACAACATGAGTTTGGATTTGTTTTTCAGAGACATCTGAAATTTAGAAACTGTCCAAGAAGTGGACCATTTTGAAGCTCGTCGACCTTTGAATCAATTCACAGGCCAGTTGCCACAATCCTCAACATCAGAAAAAACACCCTCCAAGACAACATTAGAACCTACATATCATCATGCGCTCCATCTTAGCTTAACTTTTGCTTTCTTTGGCTATTGTTTTCCTACCGTCAGCTCACTCAAAAACTATTGGTGTCGACGTTTGCTCAAGCCATGCCGTATGTGACTGCGGTCCTGGCAAACCCTACCCAAAACCAGATCCAGGTACAGGCGAAACCGTTTGTCAGCCCCCCTGCACTTGTGATGACCTTCTGGTATAGCGTTCATAATCACTTCCCAAACCCATCCAAGGTCAGCTTCATTCATTTACTCTGGTCGAATCCTTGTTTTCCTATCAATCTGACATCTCACTCAACTCTCGAGACGAAAAATATACATCATAGCAAGTTCAACTGACAAAAACCCATTGTCTTTATCTGTAGTCTTCTGCTTCATATCTGTTCAATCGACAATGGTCCGCATCGATAGGCAGGGAACGAAAGCATCTTTGGCGGCCACGATTTGAACCGATCCTGGAGTTACCACCTCGTCGATCTGCGCCGTCAATCTTGAACAAACCAGCGACAAAAGCTCACCATCCCCGTTCCTATTTTCCTCTTTTTGGTCATTATAAAGCTTTCAATTGTTACAGGTGGCAAGACTTAGGAAATCCCAAGTAGCCAATTTTCCCCCAAAAGTCTTGTGCCACTGTGCCGTAGCAGGCTGTAGCCCTTGGACTAGCTCCAAGATGTGTAATTTGTGTGATTTCGGTCATTGCACCCTGTGCTGATGCGGGCGGCCTCCTGTTACGGTAGTCTTTTGGAATAGGACATAGGGGCCCATCAGTCAGAAAACGTCCAGCAGGCAACTCTTGACATCTCGACAAGTCTTGAGCTTTCAATGTGCCTTGGAGCAGGTGCGGACCGGCCATGACAACGCTCTTTTGGAGAAGGCCGAACTACATAGAACGCCGCCATGACTGGGCCATTGAGGCTGATTGCCACAAGCTGGGCCTCGGCACAGCACAAATATGTATGCAGAGGCATAGAGGGACGTATGCTTCGAATTACTCTAAAGCCCAGATACATACCTCCAATTGGAAGCTGTTTTAAGAATACGCGTGGAGAAATCGTTTCCGTGCCTTCCTGCCTCCTCATGTATCATACACAAAATTCAGAAGCCAATGATAGCCATCGGCTGTTGATGACTGCAGAATACTGTATACATATGTATCTAACTCCAAGGCTAAAAATTGTCATGAACACCAGGCCGAAATTCTCGGCACAAACTTCCCCCGGTCGGGATACATATGGGCTGTTGTCTATTTAAGCCTACCGCCCTTTGTCTGCCTCATCCCCCAGGTTCAAAAAAAAAAAAAACATTAATATAAAGAACCACAACAACTTCCGAGATCCTGCCATATAATCCGCATCTTATATCCTTGTCATGCACTCCATCCTAGCTAGAGTCATGCTTTCTTTAGCCCTTGTTTCTCTGCCACTAGCCCTCTCCCAAAGTGCTTTCCGGTCTCATTGCGAACCCAAAGTTACCTGTCTTTGTTCTAACGGCCCCAGCCCAAGCCCCGATCCAATATCCGGAAAAACGCTCTGCATCGCCCCCTGCGAGTGTTCGCAATAACCATCAACCTTCTGGCAAAATATCTGATCCGGCTCAAAAAGCAAAACAAAAAAGTCCATCGTCAGCTTGATTAATCTTACATTTATCCGATTCGCATCCGTGTATTTATTTGGTCTGAGTTTTTTTTAGGTTTTTATCTGTTTACTCGGCTTAATGGTTCTGCGGCGGTGAAAAATAGGAAGAGAGCGATTCGAATGCGGGACGCGAAGGGGAAACACCGTCAACGGCTGGACCCGAGCCTCGTCTGCTTTAATCACCTCCTCAAGCCATCATTCCCCAGACCGACCCAAACGAAGCGATCGACAAACCAGATGCCCTCAATGATCCCGCAATCTCGCGCGATTCCTTACTCCATTTCCTCCCCTTTTCTCTACTCTTTTTGATCACTATCGGGATCGACATAAATATAGACTGTTTTTCAGAAAATGCAAACCAGGAATCTTCTATTCGTTGTGCCCCTTTTCTCTGTTGGAGATACGCTTTGAAAAATCTGGAAAGAGTTGGCTGCTGGTGAAGTAGCCCGCGGCCAGTGTCGAACGGGCCGGCCGGCGATCGTGAGCTGAGAATTAAGAGCAGTGTGAGCTCCCCAAGGTAAAGATGCAGGTCTCATCATTGATCCTTGAATATTGGCTTGTGCTCGCGGAGTCGAACTTGAAGGGCTCATCACAAACAAGGTCGGTTCCTCCGACACCAACGTAGGGCTCCGATGGGCCCCGTCACCATGTGACCTAGATCAGACCAGTTATTCGCGAAGACGAGTGATGATGAAGGAGGAGTGCAAATAGTGCGCCTTCATTCTGAGTGAAGGCTGGATGTCGTTTCACAACGGCCAGGACTAGCATATAGCCGAGTTTGATTAGCGCGGAGGCCAACGATAGACAATCGTCGGCTCGTCTGACAAAACAAAACCATCTAAACAAACCTTCCCGGTGTGAAGGCGAGAACCAGCAGCCATTAGCATGGTTGACAGCAATCTGATTATTGGGAAGAGACAATCCGTGAGTATACCTGTCGTGGTGAGCTGAGTGGCCAGGTTGACCAAGTCATGCACAAAGCATTCATACATATCAGATAGCAGGCTCAAAAAAGGGACTTTGGCAAATTCCAGTACCATTACTTCCAAAGTAATCCAGATGTTTGCAGTACACATTTTGAGGATCAAGGGCTGTTGATATTGCAATAACTTGGACTAAAACAAGATAATATTGATAAATAAGATCGATCAGCTAAAAAATGCTCCAGGATTTACATGTGATTATATAGCTTGAAAGGATATGAACAACTCTGCAAACAAAATGATCAAAAATCTGAATCGTGAAATAGAGACAAGGGGCCAATTCATCTATAAAGCCCAGATGAGAATATGGGTCCCATTTGTGGCCAATAAACGTGATAGAAATCGGATGTTGAGCTGCTTGGGTTGGCTTTGGCGGGGAACATTCTTGGGGGAGGACACATCTGCAATTATTTTTTTTAGCAACCGGTAAGTGAATTCTTCGGAAATGTGTAGCTGTATGGACACACAGAGTGTTTTAATCAGCTTGTCATTCTGAAGGATGATGGTGTGATTGTTGGATGGACAAACCCGGCTTGATCCCAAGTAGTCAGGTTCGGATTGGTGTAAGCATTGATGTGCTTGTTGATGTACTATTGATTGGGTTTTACCAAAGTCAAGGACATCAGAACAAGAAGCTTGGGTTTAGAAATTAAGACAGCGAGCATACACTTTCAGTTGGGAAATTCTTTGGTGAACAGCCGATATTCTCTTGCCCCTTCCTCTGGTACACCCGCACGTAGTCCACCAGCATCCGAGCAGGAGTTGGCAGATGAGCAGCATCGACCGTCTCGAAAGCCTCAGAGATAGCCAGCTGAAAAAAAGGGGCGATCAAGGGAACAGCGTTTGCGCCGGTTCGTCTCATACAGAATAGGCTTAAAAAAAAAAAAAAATCACGTACGTTCAAGATGATATACATCGGTTCCTCGCTGACAACTCGCTGGGAAATTTGAACGTTTGGGTTGGGTCCAACGGCAGAGGAAGACATAGTCCACGTCGCAGTATCTCCAGCTGACCAAGTGATTGAGCCTTTAGGACCAGTCGTGTATTCGAATCCAAACTTTTTTAAAGTCGACAGGCAAACACAAATCGAGGTTAACAAGGGATGACTTACGGGTTTAATTTAGAGGAAGACAAGACAAGAAACCAATGGACCCACTATTTGGAAGTTACCGCCAGTAGCTTCATAGGCAGTTTGATCAGTGGTCGACACAACCGATACAGCTTCTTGATAGATTCCACCCTTGTAGGCGTTGATATTGGAACTGGCACGAGTATTGGTGGTTAGGGCATATTAAAACTTTGAAGCACCATTCAATCAGAAGCTACTGGGGAGTGAAAAGAGCCGCTCACACTCGGGGATTGTAGACTCTTGCGCCATCCTCTTGCCAATTGTATCCATCATCGAAAGGAGCAAATTGAACGGATTGTGAGGCCTGTCCAATATTCCCGCCGGTACCGGGTGACGTGACTTGGGCTTCGATGATATCGATCTCAGGAGATCCCCTGCCCGTTTTCACGTTAGGGCCAGGATGTTCGCCCCCTGGGCAAGTACAAGAAGACAGCTTTTGACCAGGGAGGTAGGATAAGGGCCCTCCACCCGGTGCACGTAAAGCGGCTGCTGGCCCTGTTCCGGCTACGTTGGTTTGGTTCTTCAAAGTGCCAAGATCACAAGAATTATAGGAGCTGATCTCGGACATCAGGACTGGTCTCAGTAGATTCTTTTGGTGGACTTCCTCACAGACTGTTCATGTACTTACTAGGGCCAAGTCCCATCTGTTGTTGCTCCATATCCAGCTCTTCCAAGGTTTCCCATCGTCCAAGCCCCTGGCCAGAAGCCGGAAATCCGGGGAGATCCAGGCAAACTGATCGAAACTTCAATGTACCCCCCAGTAAAGCAGAATTTGTTCCACGATTGCAGCATTCCGGAGCGGTAATTCAGATCGTGTATCAGTTCTTTGGTGATGGTGATATTCAGGTTCCCGTTGTTTGTGGTGATGGCGTCTGTGGAATGATCAAAAATGCTATAGAAAGTAAGGGTCTCACAGTCTGAAGCGTGACTTGAAATGACTGCATACCGGGGTCAAACCACTCCAAGTTACCTGAAGTTTGGAAAGAGGTGCTTGATCAGGTTCTGGAATGTGGACTATGGAGCGCAAGCCTGCCTGCAAGGAAAAATCTCACCAGTAGCCCAATAGTGCAGGTCAACAGCTTCCCAGTAAGGATCATCCCCCGGCCAGAAAGTGCGACCATCGGTATTGAACTCATCAGAAAAAACCAAGTTGTATTGTGTTCCATCGAATCCTTTCCGGGACATAACGCTCTGGGGAGTTGCGGGGTCTATGACACCAGCAAGATTGTGTATCAGAGGCACTTGGCCTGAGGCATTGATTCCTCCCAAGTTAAATCCGCCACTGTTGACGGCAAGTTGTTTGGTTGCACGGTGAGCGCCATAGTAAGTGAGAATCGGAAGGATACCAAAGATAGTCACTAGGGCTAATGCTAGCAACATCACTGCGCCCATGTTCAGAATCCCTCTCATCGGAAACAAGTTGCCACATGCGAGCTTGGACTTTTTGGGTGAGCCAGTCAGGTTATCCTCGTCATCATCTCCATCGTCATTATGCAGCTCGTCCTCCAGCTCTGCATCGAAGTCTTGATAATCTTCCATGTAGGATCGTCGACTGGCTTTCCCCGGGTCGATTTGACTGCCCCGGAAGGAAGGATACGAGCTTGCTGCTGAATCAGGCCGTTGATTTGCACCGAGTAAGTAGGACGCGCTGGAAAGGTAGTTTTGGTCACTATAGATCGCGTTCATGACGGAAGCGCGGTTATCGGCGGGAGCCCAGTTGGCCTTCTCATCGCTCAGTTCTCCAGCAAACGAACTTTCCGATGCCTCGTCAATGTGGGACGCTTCTAAAGAAGGAAGGGTGCAGGGAAAACAATTGGACAGTCAGCTGCATTGTCAATTAGAAATCTGAGGCTTTTGATGAGAAAAGTTGCAAACTTGAGGTCAGATGAATGTCATCTGAGGGCATCTTGAAAAGTTGAAATCTGCAACTCAAAGGAAAAAAGGTGTTCACTCGATTTGGCGCTGAAGAATTCGTGATTTGGTTGGTTGATTTGATCGGGCGGAATACTTGAGGACTTGAAATTTTTTTCTAACGGCGGGGGATGCTAGTACTAATGTGATGGTAAGTTTTTCATGAATGAAAAGCGTTATGAATCACCAGCATTCAGGAAGCTGCAGACGGCGCTGATCAAGGTCTGGTAGGGCAAAGTCTATCCTCATTCTCGATAAGGGAAGTCGAGCAGTTTGTTGTGAGCTGGCACAGGCCGCATCGGGCTAGAGCTCGGTGGGGGTTGTGATCGGACTAGTGAGGTCGAGAGCAAGAGTCCGATCTTGTGGGTGTTGGCTAATTCACATTAAAAAAGGGTACCCAGTTTCCAGTTCCGGACTGCTTGGCTTCATTACCCGCTCGGACTTCCAGCTGGCTGGTCCATTAGTAGTGGAAAACGATGGGATTGAGATAGGTTTATTTCTATAGGATCATGCAAATGGGTTTCTTTTTCAACAAGTGCAGTAGGGCTCAAAAAAAAGCAGCAGCTGCTGGCCTCTGTTGGCTCGAGCGACGTTCAGAGCTTGGTAGCTCATGACGGGTCATCGGAGGATTGACCAAGGTACACCACCGGGCCATCAGTTTTGATCGGTGTCCGCCGACTCTTACGGCCCAACGGCAGCGTCGGAGCCTAGGATGGTTGGACTCGGAGCCAGGCTGGATTGGCAGTTGAGGCACAATATAAGTATATTCTGATCAGACACAACCCTGCAAGCTGAGAACACACTGCACTGGGTTGTAGCACAGCACTACTTTTAATGAGCACCAGATCAAGAGAGCGCTGAAAATCGCCAGCCGGACTATGTAGCCTGAGTGATCGGCTGAGCCTACTGTCCAGACTATGGTCTCCTAATCTGTCTTTCGTCTATGTAGACTTGTTTGTAGGTAAGACATGTTTAGGCTGGTTGACTTTCTCTGCCTTACTGAGATCCCTACTCCAGTTTTTTTTTCACGTCTTGAGATTTCTGGAATGATTGTTCCAACCAAACCGGTCAACCATCCTCTCTCTCATTTTCCAATCATCTCCTGGGTTTTGAAGCTATTTCTTCCTTCGTCAGTCCGATCACACTGCTTCAGCTTGTAGTGTATGACCCTTCGTCCTTGATTTCATTGTTCTTTTTTCCTCCTCTTCTTCTTCAGAAAAAAAAACCAACTCTTTATTGTTCTCTAGACTGCCATGCAACTAAAACATTATAATAAACCATCCTGAAAAAAAAAAGAAACCAACCAACGGAAAAGGATATATACATAGTCAAGCGACTCAAAAAACCTCGTATTCCTTTATCTTGGACCGTTTAAGGGATCCATTCGACCAGGAACAGACGACCATTCACTTCCAATTCAACTCTCCCCATCCCATCCCATCCCATCTATCCAATTTTTGCAACCTGATCAAACACGAGAAAGCGACTCCTAATTATCTGGTCCGATTGGGAAAAGAGAGAGAGAGAGATTCAAATTTCAAGGGAATGAAGATAGACAATCGAATGTTTGGGATAGGCTCAAGAACGAGTTGGATGAGAGGGAGTACCAGTATCTTGAAATTGGTTGTCCTTCTTGTCATGATTTCTGGATTGGTCGATGGATTAGGTCTGGGGGAACCTCCGTGAGTTGATTGAAAGCCTGACGAGTGAGGACAAAAACGGAGAGAAGAAATATTGACCCGTGTAACCCACATGATTATTGTAGGGACGGCAAGGCTTACTTGGCCGCTTGGACGGATGGCTCGGCTCCTTATCATGACTCCCCTTCAGCTTTCAATCGTCGAATGTGAGAGAAACGTTTTCCAGATAAAGAACCCCCGCCTGACGAGATGATCAGAAAATGGAATTGATGAATAAACAAACAGCGGCCAGAAAGCGTATGCATTCCAACAAGCCCAAACGATTCCGATCACGCCATACAACTACACGAGCGGCGCGGGGGGGCCGATGAACGCGAGCCAGGTGGTCCAGACGGGGACGCCGGCGGCGATCTATCTGACGGTCTATCCGCAATCGCTGGGCCGGGTGAGCGACCAAGACCTGCGGCTGCTAGGCCAACAGATCGCACGCTACCAGCTCGTCCCAAAGACCACCAGCACGTCGACTCCCAGCAGACAGGTCTTCCTCAGATTCGCCCCGGAGATGCAGGGCAGATGGATGGCCTATGGCGCCCAGCCTACTCAGTTCTTGGCCCTCTGGAAGAGAATGTTTGCGATCATCAAGGCACTTGCGCCGCAAACTATCATCGTCTGGGCTCCTAATGGTGCAATGGTCGGTTTCAGAGAACTGATTTCTCCTACAAGTGTTTGGACCACAAGAGTAGTATTCTGAGATGGATTGATGTGGATTTTTGTTTTCTTTTGATGTATCTATTTATGTATGTCTGTACTAGGGTTATCCTTATGGACTTCAATGGTCTGATATTTCCTCAAAAGCTGACCAGGATCTCTTGGATACTAATAAGAATGGTCAACTAGACTCCGGCGATGATGCCTATTCGCCCTACTATCCAGGGGATGCTTATGTGGATTGGAACGGGATCTCGTGGTAAGAAGCATGTCTCTATAGTCTACAATCATGGATCGTCAATCGACTGAAGTGATCATGAATCGCAGGTATTGGAAGGGGAACGAGTATCCGTATCGGCTCAACCAACTCTTGCCAGCCGGCTATACTGCCGGTGCTATGACCGGCAAAAGTCCGCCTGGCTCGATCGGAAGCGGCGGAGCTCAAACGTTCACGAACTTTTATGATAACTATTGTATCAACAAACCATGCATGTTTTCTGAGATGGGAGGTGAATACTGCCCCAAGATCGTGATCATCAACATGAATGATGAACTCGAAGAAAGCGCTGAATTCAATATTTCGTTTCCTCAAATAGCGGCGTTCCACAGTAACTCGACCTCAACAAGTGCTCCTTCGAGTTCTTCACCAAACCAGCAGCCAGCTGATATAAATCAACAGAGCCTGCAACAGGCCTGGTGGAGAGACAGTCTGAGCTCGCTCGAGTTCATGAACACGTTCCCCAAGATCAAGATGTTCATGCTCTTCGAACACGAGAAAGCGGAAGACGGGGGCGATCTGCGTGATTATCGGATCTCTGTCGATGAGCTGGTCAGGGCTTCTTGGCTGGATGACTTTCAAGGTCACAATACTTTGTGTTTTTACCTACTTCAATCATTTCTTTTCTTCTGAGCTCTGCTGATTCTTTTGGTTGTGCCTTATTACAACATAGCCGTTCAGTCGAGATTTATTTGGGCTGATAACTCGACTGGGAGTAATAATGGCTCATCATCCGCTGGGCAGAAAGGTGCCAAGGGACGCTCAAGTGAGATTTGATTTCTTTTTCTTTTTTTTTTCAACATTTTTTGTTTTGTTTTACAAAAAGATGATTGATTTCCCCTCTGTTTTTTTTTTTTCTCTTAGGTCGCCTAAATAGCTCGATGGGCTTGTTGATTTCGATGACTATTGGTTCCATGGTGCTTATGCTCTGATAGAGTCCTACGTCTCCCATCTTATCTTATTTCTATTTATTTATTGTTTAAGCTTCGTTCTTTGTGGCCATTCTGGCTGGTTCAACACTCTCCTTATATTCTCTGGCTCCTTCTGCTTGTAAATTTCCGTACATGTACAAATTGCCTTCTTGTTGTACAATCTGCTCTACACGCTTTATGCATGTATGAGACTGTAATAAATTGTAAACCATTGTTTTTAGCCAAATCTTGTGTTGAAAGGTCTCGACTTCCACCAGCAACCAACCCAAGCATGAGTCTCACTCAAACCGACCGAAGCAGAACAAAACAAAAAGAGGGATTCTATGCAGGACTAGCCAACAACGCAAGCTCGAACCTATGTTTCTTGAACTCGGTCATACAAGCACTAGCATCGATCACCGAACTCGAGGACTATCTCAGAGAGATCAAGTCAACCCAGACGACCATCGACGCCGAGCAAGCAGGAGATCGAGGATCGATTATCGAAAGTCTACTCGAGATCATCAACGAGCTCAACACACCCAGAGAGAGGAGGAGCGTGCTTCGGGCGACAAAGTTCATCGAGTCCTTACGAGCCAATAACGCCAGCTCGAGCCGACTCTTCAACTCCAACCAACAGGATGCACACGAACTACTGATGATGATCCTCGAGGCCGTAGAGGAAGAGGTCGACCGCGCCGCCCGACTCCGCTCATCTGTCTCCCTAGGTCTTGCCGGCCTCATCAATAACCTCAAGCCCACTTCTTCATCATCCTCGTCTTCTTCACCATCCTACAATCCCAAGATTCTGAGGAGCCCCTTTCGTGGTTTGATGGCTAACAGAATCGCGTGTGCTGCTTGTGGATTCTCCGCCGGCATTCGTCATTCACCGACCGATCATCTATCGATTACCTTGCCAGTCTGCGTACGTTTACATCTTCAATCCTAAACACATCAACTCAACCACTTCGAAAAAAAAAAAGAAAAGAGCACAGAAGGGACTGATCAAATTGGATCTCTAAACAGTCAACATGCACACTAGAGGATTGTTTGAAAGAGTATACGATCTTAGAGTTATTAGACGACTACGTATGTCGAAAATGCACCTTATTGAACAGCGAACGAGAGAAGAAGAAAGCATTAGAAGAAGAGGAAGAAGAAGAAGAAGGACAACGAAAGAAGAAGAAGGGCGGAGGTCGATCGAGGCGGAAACGAGACGACCTCAGGAACGAGCTCCAGGTGATCTCTGCAGCCATCAAACACCAGCCCGAACGCGACCTTGGCCCGCTTCTCGAACATTCTCTCCACCCGATCTGGAGTCCGATGTCTACGAAACAAACCATGTTCGCTAGGGTATATCTTTCTCTTACTTACCCACTCCCCCGTCTTGTCACTTCATCAACAGGAAAGCAGTCACGATTTCAACCTGATGATTTTTCTTCTTTTCTTGCTGTCCGACCAAACAAAAAAACAACAGCCACCGAGAGTCTTGACGGTCCATGTCTCACGATCGACAGTGATGGGGGAAGGCCAACTGATGAAGAACTACTGTCGCCTAGTCTTCCCGGAGCTCCTAATCCTGGACCGATTCACGACGACGGAACGCTTGAATGGACGAGCGGAGGCGCCGATCTCCGGGACCTCGGCTCCGTCGTCGACAGACACCCGACCTCCCTCGCTCCATTATCCCTACCGTCTCCTCGCCCTCGTCGTCCACCAAGGAACCCATCTCTCGGGTCATTATCTTACCTTCCGTCGCTCCCCCTCCGGTGAGTGGTACAGATTCTCGGACCAGGACGTCGATCGTTGTCCCCTCCGTGAAGCCTTGGACTCTAATCCTACCTTGCTCATCTATCAAAGGCTAGGAGACCAGGATCAGTCGTCGGTCCTTTCTCTTTTTCGTTTATTTTATTTTTATTTTGCTTCGTTATCACACCCGCTCATATATCACTTTATTTTCTCTCCACTTTCCTAGTCTTCCAAGTTAGATCTAGTCTGTTCAGGTCACACGTAGCAGATACCCGCCAGGATTCCCTCGCAATCAATATCAGTTTTTTTTAAAAAAAAAAATACCTCCAAGACCCCGCTATATATAGTTATATTTCTCAACCAGTGCATGTGTGTGTATTTTGTGCTTATGGGAACTCGTTTACCTCATCTTTGTCTCTTGTGTGTAATCATACTTTTTCCTATAATTATGTTCATTGAGAATGGGGAATATGGTGTAATCGTCCCCTCTGCAAATCTAAATATTCAGATAAATATCTATGGTTTTTTTTCTTTTGTTACAACCGTCTGATTAAGAATCCAAAATGAACCAAATGAGTTCAAAAATTGCGGAGAGGTGTTGGTTCAGATCTTGTTGATATTGAGGTCAAGACGGTAAGTAAAGGCGGGAGATACGTGTGAAGCAAAGAGGGTGAAGGTGACGAATTATCAGAGAGTGAAAAGATATGTATTCAAACAATGGAGCAGATCGTTTTCATTCATCAACCTCAATGAGCTGGACATCCTCATCATCATCATCGTCGTCGTCGTCGTCGTCATCGGGTGTTGGGAGGCCAGCGTCGAGCCGGAAGGAGTCAGTTGCTCCTCGTTGTTCCTCCATCACCCTTGTCGGCTCATCTTTGAACAGTCGGATCAGCTTGACTCGGGCGAGGAAGGAGCGGTCACATCGGTGTTCATCCTTCCATTGGTCTAGCAACTTCAGATTCTCCGCCGTCCGTAGATCCGGTATCACTGTTCCATTCAGTTGGACACACATATTCGGTCATTCAGATATCAGTAATGAGAACCAGCAATGAGCATATCAGCTTTCAGGCTTGTGATTTGTCGGAGAACAAGAGTGGGAAGAGTTTGAACAAAAAAGACAAACAGAAGCCGTTTGTAGAATATTCGATTAATTCCGAGCGACGTAACGATTCGAGTTTTTCAAGCGCGGTAGATTTAGGTCGGTTGGAGAAGTGTTTGGTTCGTTTGGAGGTTTCTTCGTTGATCAGGGATGAATTTCGAGCGATGAAGCTGGTGATCAGGACGTGTAGGGTCGATAGGTCGGCTGAAGGGATCGGGAGGGCGGGTTGGCCCGAGGGGTCTTTCGTTCTGGCTTCTTGTTTGTTCGCTTCGATGAACCATATCAATCGGCTCGCTTCGATTTTTTTTTTTTTTGGAAGAAAGTGTAATTTTCTTGTTAGTCCTTTGTTTATGTCTTGGGTAAAAGACAATTGAATGATGGGATCAAAGATGTGGATGGCTGACTAACTTAACGCGTTCCCAAGCTTCTTCTTTTCTTTCTTATTCAGCGCCAACTTATCGTCGCGCAAAGCGATCTAAATAAGAAGAAGGAAGGGATAATTGTGTCAAACAAGTCAGGTTCCGATTCAAAACAAGTGGTTTCAATTATTTTGAATGAAGTTGACTGACTCTGGTGATTTGTTTGGCTCGTCTGGAATGTGGATGCAGTTTCGAAAGAACTGCTTTCCCTTTTTTGCTTTGTAAGGCCTTGGTCGTCTTCACCCTAGTCGATGATTCATTGAGTTATTTTCATTTTCCGATTTCCGATTCCCGTTTTTTTTTGCGACATGAGAGGTTGAACAATGATTTGTTTTTCCGAGCGAAAGATCATCACAACATCCAACCGGCCAAATTTTTTTGATTCGTCAGGTTCTTCGACATCAACGTCGATTGTTTCGTCGAGAAAATCACATCAAGGATATGGATTAAGGAATTATATAAAAAAAACTGACCGATTGTTGGGCATGATTCCTGGGTATCTTTGCGTTTGCTTCTGCTTTGTTCGTGATGGTTCGAGTGGAGTCGATGTAGGCGCTGTCCCACTGACGGTAAAGTCGATTGGTTTGTGGATGCTTTTGCTTGGATTTGCAGACAGTCATAGCATTCATCCACAAGTCCGCAGCAATAGTCCAAATACTGCATATTGCACATGCATAACTTAATGAAACACATTGTAAATTTGACAAACCCCTGTTGATTTAGCGCTGATATGTTAAAATGCCCGCGCCTTTGCCATCAATACACCCCCACAGAGAGAGAGGGCTCGACAAACAACTGGCTATCCACCTTCGAACAGTACATACGAAAAGCCCATCTCCTCAAAACCAACGCCCACCCGACCAACATCTATGGAGTTCTTGCAAAGCTTGGGGAGGCTCAAGGATAGACAGAGACAGCTGTATCAAGTAAAAGTTGCTCCATGGAGTCCACATATCTGCTCGAATTGGGATCAAATTGGAGCCAATGGATCACATGTTGGATACTGGAAAGAATGTCCAGTGATCTCCGGTTGAGTAATCAGATGCTGGCGACGATCCCAAAGTCTGAGCGCTTCTTATCACCGGGTTTGCTCCATCAACTTCCTCTATCGACTGTTGACTATTTCCCACCTCAACGAAGTCCCTCAATAGGAGGGGGGGGGGACACTGTTTCTGTCCGGCAGTTTCATCCGATGGCTCGCCATCGGATGAGACTGCCGGAGGGAATTAGTTCTGTTAGAGTTCCCACTCATTCTGGCTTCCCATTTCTGGGTACCCTCATATCTGTCTGATAAATTCTTCAGGCTGGGTCTCTCTTCTTGGCCTGATCTGTCAATAAGGGTGGTTGACGAATGAGTATGAGCTTCCTGCAAGGCAGGTAGACCGGGCAGATGCTTCCAACCTCCTAGGCCGCTCTCTAGTGTGATGCAATTCACTACGCAGCTGCTAGTTTTTATTGAGATTTGTTTGGAGGCTTGTATGTAGCCCGGGTCGAGAAAGAGAGAGAGAGAGCCGAATCCTCCAGCCGTCCCACCCAGCCCTCGCTGTGGATCTTTGCCTCGTTATCTCCCAACCATCGTCCTCCTTTAAGACCCCTCCTGTCTGGACCCCCCCAAAAAAAACGATTTTTAAAAGCAGCCATTGTCTTCCTCCCGCACTCCTCGATGCACAGTTCTTCACTTTCAGCACCCCTCTATAACTGAGAAGACCCCATAACACTGAGAAGACCACATAACGATGGCGCGTCCGACTACATCTACTAAAAAGCCCAGCTCGTTCCTCAAAAAAAAATGTCTTTTGATAGCTGGCGAGGTGTGATCTCAAGTGTGCCTTAGATTTCCTCAGAAACCAGCCCTTTTTCGATTGGCATCCCAAAAAGAGCAGATATGTCTTCTTCGAAAACGGGGCGCAAAATCCACTGAGCTGGGCGCGTTCCCAATCCTGCCGAAACCGTGGAGGATATGGCCCGCAAGGCCTATATCTGTGTCCCCCCACGAAACTGGCTCGGTCGAGAAAAAAAAAAAAACACGTTCTCAAGCAAGCGGCAACTGGGCTGTCTATGGATTATTATAAGGCCTGGATCCGGTCACTCTTGTCATTAGAGAATCAGATCGAAAGTCCTAAGCTATACATTTTACAATTAATAGGGCTACAGATATATCATACAATCTTCTCTACTGTAAAAAAACTAGTCGGCATCACTATCATCTTGGCCGGCCACTGGGAGGGGTGCAGGAAGTGGGGCGTGGTAGTAGAACCTTATGTGGATGGTGATCGGGGTTCTACACAGGGGACAATTGAAATTGTCTGGCAACCAAGACTGGGGAGAAAAGAGAGAGAACAAAAAAAAGGGATGAGCGATGTTGTGCAGAGTCAGACAAGGAAAAACGAAATGGCTCACTTCAAGACAAGAGAGGTGGAAGTAGTGATCACGATGGCATGGGAGACGGGTGATCAAGTGATCTGGGCTATAGCCCTCCAAACAGATCGTGCATTCTGGGATGTTGTTGTGATCGGTGATGTTGGGGGCCGTGAAGGACGTACTGATCACGCTGTGCACATCCAAGAAGTGGTCGAGCATTAATCTGCCGGGCAAGGATTCGACCTGGTGAGAATTCAGCTCAGCATACTCCTGCATCAAGTTGTCGAGAAAGTTAGTGTAGTCTTGTAAATGCTCAGGACGGATCCGCGAGAGGGCCAATCTCATCCGCTCGGTCTCAGCAAAATCAGGACGCAAGTCCGTGTTGGCCAAATCATGAGGATCAGAGATGACAAGCGCTCGTGCTCTGATTGTACTCTGGATGTCGGAGAAGAAATGTTGGAGGGCCGTTCGATCATCAGGCTCCAGAGTCTGCAAGACGTGTCCGATTTGGGTGAGGTCACTGAAGTCCGGAATTCTGATTCTGCGGCGCGGAGGTAAGAGGTGCGCGTCTCTCGCGTAGAGCTGGGTGACGAACTTCATGACATCTTGCCATATTTCTTGGGGAACATGGTCGTGGTTGAGAATGTCAAAGGTGTCCGGGTGCATGATCAGAGTGAAGACAGAGAGGGTTTCGAGTGGCTCGTCTGGGTCGAATTCCGTGGGAGATGGTGCGGATGATGCATCAGGCGGACCTGGAAGGCGTTCATCTTCGCCTTGCCCATCATCGCGTGGTCCAGCGTTGTCGATGAAGCTTTCATTCAAGGGGGACAGCGGGGGGTGGGGTGCGTTCAGATCTGGAGAGCCACCAGGGCCCTGAAGTTGGGGATATTCCGCTGAACCCAGTTGAAGAGGATTGTTAGTGTTGGGGTCCATTTACTCTAGTTAATTTTTTTCTCTGAGCTGTGTGAAGGTCGTGACTGTCGAATGTCTGGATGGATGTCTTTTGATGGGCGTGTAATGCTGGAGGGTGATGGATATAGTTTGACTTTTGCAAGGCTGAGTCTCTCAGTACTGCATCACGGCCATAGAAATGACAGTAGCTTTCTCTAAGGAGACTATGCCGCATGACTAGGATGTTTTTGTAGTGAAAAGTTTGGTGCTTTTCTATCTTCGCCGGCCTTGCTCCACCAATATTGACCGTGCCGAGGCGGATTCTAAGTCAAGCGGCCATTACAAAAGAGGCCTCGATATTCCTCCGCGAATTTTCCGCTTGAATAGCTCGAAAATGTGGTACAATATGGAAGAAAATAAACGATCGTAGGTCGGTACATATTAATGGATACATTACCAGGCATTGGGGTGGACTTGTGAGACTGAGCCCAGTCGACGCCTACGGAGTAGAACGCGGAATATGATGTGGTGTAACCGCTCGCGGAGAGGTGTGGAGTCAAGGGCATTGGCGGCCATATCTTCTTGAAGCCTCCGCCAACGGCGCGAGTCCGGACGGCCAGAGAAGCCTAGTTTAACACGAGCCCGGCGTCTCAAGACCTCGCGAAGCGTGCCTCCGAATCAAGCGCACACTAGAGAAGGTCAATGACTCGGACGTTGATGCCCTGGAAGGCCCGCAATAGGCCGCGAGGTATGTACGTAGGATGTGTCACTTGAAAAAAGGTGGCTGGGGTCGCCTGCATCATAGGATCACCGAGATCCAACTCTCACGTGAGGTCTATGACAGGCAATTAAAATGAGCTAAGCTATAGTGT